TGTGTTCAACATCACGACAGTTTCTGTGGCATTTTTCCAGAGCAGGAAACAAAATTTCACAGCCACATACTGCTCTCTTAAATCGGCCATCACAAAAAACGAGGTTTGAGTGAAATTGATTTTATAAAAACATTCACTGTGATCCAAGAGAACCTTCCCAGGTGCACTAACTCAGAGCCAATTGCTGATGCTCACCCAATGGAGGAAAGTGCATATTACGTAAGCTCTACTCTGCCCAACACAATTCTTTTTTTGGGTGGGGGGTACCCCCTCGTATGTGGACCTTAGTGAATGGAATACACAGGGATCAAATGGACTCTATCTGTGGGAAGAAACATGGAGGTCTATGGTGTACATGACCCAAGCCATGGTCTGTTCAGTCACACCTATGCATGTGCAAGCTGGACCCCGAATTAAGAAGGCCAGAGAATTATTGGTACCCTTGTATTCTGGTGTTGACAAAGAATATTGAAAATACTATAAAGTACCAGAAGAACCAACAAGTCTATGTTTGAAGAAGTATAGGCAAGATGTTTGTTAGAATTACGAAGTAGAATGCTGTGGGAGTAAATATTGGTGATGGAATCGGTAAGAGAGGAGGTGGAGGGAGGAGTCCTCTGCCTCTCGCCAATAGGGAAGTCAGTGATCAGATATGATACTCCCTCTGTCCTTTTTGGGGATAGGTGTTATGATTATCTGTCCTTTTGAATACATTACATTACTCACGACGGTGCCAGCTAATACTTATGAGACACTTCTTTTTTGCTTAAGGAGCTGTGGTGCTGTTGTCAGGTATTGTATTGTTAACTACAAGGTCAGTAGTTCAAACCCACAACTTCCTCTTCAGAAGAAAGACGAGGCTTCTTCTCCCGTAAAGATTTACAAAGTGTCAGAAATCATATACAGGGTCACAATAAGTCAGAATATACAGAGGGTGTTGGTCCTTATTTATCTGGCACTCTGATTGAGATTATTCTAAAATTATCATTTTTTTAATCATTTGGTAACCGCAAGATCAGTGGTTCAAGCCCACCAGTTGTTCCATAAGAGGTTGGTGAGGTTGTGTAAAGATTTACAGTCTCCAAAACCCATGGAGCAGTTCTCTGTTTTGTAGGCTTGCTACATGTCAGAATTTGCTGAATGGCAGTGAGTTTGCCATGGTTTGTTTGCTCTTAAGAGCTATGCCTGAAGTACTCAAGTTTAATCCTCATAACAATGCTTACTAGAAAGATATTGTCATATGCAATGCTCTTTTGCTGGGATTAAGGCCTAGAGTTAATTGAATACATTTCCCCAAATAATTGAGCTTTTGAGGGAAAAGAATTGGGAACAATCCATGCCTATGCCCCTCAGCGAGTTTGGGATAAAGGATTTTCTTACCAGGACAGACTAATGATTTGGGACTATATTTTAGGTCTCTGAGGGTCAGTTTTAGCAAGGCTTAATCTTTTTTTTTTTTTTTTTTAAGAAATTCCTCTTGATGTTGGGACTCCTGGTTTAGCTATAATATTGAAGTTAAGAATTACAGAAACATCACTTAAGAAGATACCAAAACCCTTATCCCTTCAGCAATATTTGAGATGTAAGCTCATTTTAAAGCATGTTCTCTGAAATAAGATGGCAATGACTGCCGTGAGAGCAGAGATAAAATGACTTTTCATGAAGTTACTCTTTTACCAGGGTGCTGGGTGTGATTTTTCTCTTGGTGGGGATTTGTATTACTTTAGAAAACAATTTGTCATTTTACAGTCGTTCCAACGACTATTCAGAAAGATAGTTGCCTTGTTTTCCGACATTGGGTCTAGCGGGTCGAGGATTATTTAAAGCAAGATGAAGCAAGCACACACACACACACACACACACTAGAAAAGAAGTGCAGAGGCCACCTCGTGTGGTGGTGCTGCAGTGTGACTTGATTCAAGTTGTTTTTTAAATGCCCCATTTAACTGGTGCCTTGGCGGCTACCATGTGCTCAACCACAGGAACAACTGTGAACTTGGAGCAGGACCGGGCGGTGTTTCCTTCCGTTGCATTTGAGGTCCCAGTGAGTTTGAACCGATTCGATGGCACCTAGCAACATTTATGGGAAAGCCTCTATGGGTGGGATTTTTTTTTGTTATTTATTTTTTAGAAAAAAGACATTGATATTTATATCCAAATAACACTTCTTCTGGCTTGACAAGTTTCACAATGTAGTGCTATAATTCCATGACACAAACTGATTTTAATGGGGTGTGTTGTTTCTGTGAGCTCATGTGTTACCCTGTGAGACTGAGCATAGTACTGACAGTTGGGATATAACAGAACCCCGCCCCCAGCCTCCCTTCTTGGCACACCGCTCCCATGAACTATTCAACAGCAGACTTGCGGCAGGGCCCTTCTGTTCCAAACACCAGAGTTGGCACCAGGAGGGGCAAGCCAAGGACCTGCTTCCACAGAGGTTCCTGGTCTCCTGGAGCAGACAGACAGACAGACAGTCATCGGCTGTGATCACACACTTACTGCAGCTGTGCCTCCTGGTGTGGCTGGAGCTGGTCTCTGAAAATAGCCCCCCACCTGTTGCTCATTGCCCGCTCCAGTCTGGGGTGTCGGTGGCTTCGTTTGCCTGGAGAGCATCATCCTTTCATGACATGTGCCACTGGGTGTTCCTCATTCTCAAGCTATCTGCCACCTTCTGTTGCTCAAAAAGCAAAGGTTCCAATGTTTGAAAATGGGGCATTGTGAAATTTTTGATCAGTTACAAATCCTCTTTTATTAAGAACAGTAAATGAGAGGTGGGAATTAATGGCCATGAATATTAGTGAAAGAGGAGGTAAAATAAAGATCTCTGTAGAATATTAAATGCTAAGGTATTACTGCTGTTGTGTTTAATCCACCCACTACAGAAAGGCTTATTTTCCCACATGTCCATTTACTACAGTACTTTACAGCAACAAGAAAACAAACTCACTGCCATTGAGTCACTTCTGACTCACAACAACTCCGTCGGACTGCCTCTGTAGGTCCCTGAGACTGTAACGCTTACGTATCATCATTTTCCCAGGGAGCGGTTGGTGAGTTCAAACTGCTGACCCGGTGGTTAGCAGCCGAATGCATAACCACTACACCATCGGGGCTCCTTAACAGTTTATAGGTATTGATAAAACAGAGCATTTCTCTCCTATGTATTAGAGGAAGGGTCTTCCCAAAGTTTGTGGGGGAAATTCCATGATCTTTTCACTCCATTTTATCTAGAATTTTTTGAAGCTCCTTCATCCTGGAAAGCTACTGTTTATGCTTTCCGTTCTCTAGTTGTCCACACATCTGGATGGAGTTGCCTACTGTACACTAGGCAGTGGGGGTTTAATAGAAAACAAAAATTGAATTTCTTGTGGATCTTTAAATGTCAATCTTTTGAGCTAGCAAAGGGAAATATGCAATTAAATATATCTTCTGTCCGATGGTTATGTAAGTGCCCAAGGTGAAAAGGGCATGGGGTGAGGAAAGGAGACGGACCGGGTATGCAGGGAGAGGGGGCTCTTTTCCCGGGGGCTGTGCTAGAGGGCTGCTCTAGTGAGGTGACATAACTGTGTCTGCTCCGCTGGTCTCTCCTAGGCTCTTGCCGATGCTACTTGCAGAAGAGCTGCCTTTATTCCCGATGAAGGCTTTTCGCATCCATGTGTCTTCCCTGCCTTCATCCACTCTCACCCGTTAACCCATCCCAAGAATTTATTTATTTCCACAGACACTCTATTTTCACCTAAAATTGTTCCCCACCTCTTCATTTAATCTCATGTTTATCTGGGCTTTGGTGGCTTCGTGTCTAAATCTTTCTTTGATTTTTAAGTTACTTAATTAAGTTTAGAATTAATTACATAGAGGCATCTCCTACTTTAGAACTGGGCATATTTACCTTTAAGTCTTTTTGAAACAGCTCTTCTAAGTCAGAGCTCTGAAAAGAGGGAGGGCAATTCTGACCTGAAACTTCTCTTTCTTAGGCTCAAAAATCTCTCCATGTAAATGCAGCTTTTTGTGTATGGAGTAACTGCATAATTTCCCTTCAAACCTTGGATAATTGGCCTCATATTCCTTAAGTCTCGGTACTTATTGCAACACAGCCCAGCAGCAAACTGTGAGGACAGAATGCTCTGGAAGATAGAGCATTGACCTTTGGAGGATATTAGAGTGTGTTCAGCAGTAATAGCATCTGTAAAAGGATGGTTTCGCTACTTTCTAGTTTATCCTCGACCTTGGTGGAAGAATGAGAAATTTTATTTATGTGTGCCACCATGTTGTGACTTTTGAATCCAAAGTAGCCAGGGAAGTTAGAAAGAAATAAAAATCTTTTTCATCTGGGGAATTAAAATTAAAGCGAGGCACTTTAGTGTTTACATTATGAGTCGAAGAAGGTAGAAAGTAGATGTTCAAAGACGGTCAACACCAGTCTGGGAGGTTAAAAGAGCAATTTTAGAAAATCTAGCTGGATAAGTCCTGTTCTTATTTATGCTGGAATAAAATTGTCTCATGCTCGTATAGCAATCACAAAGAAAACAAATGCTTTAAACGTTTCTGTGAGGAGGGAGAAATATAGCGTTTCTATTTATAGCTTGCTCAGAGTCTCACATAAAAATAGCTCCAACCAACAGATTCGCTCCTCTGTGGGGTACACAGTTGTTGCTGCCAGTGATTTGAGGAACTCTAGTAAGAAGCCCAAGAGCCGGGTAAATATTGAAAGTTTGTCACCATCCTTTTTCCTTTCCTTCAGTTTTGAAAGGGGGAGAAAATGACAGTTATTGGGAAAGTCCTGGCTGTGTGCCAGGAAAAGGATGCCTTCGTCACCCTTCAACCTGACCTCACGGAGTGGTGATATTTTTAGTTGTATGTCTGCGTGACATACTTGTCAGCCAGGGAGATTTAATATTTCATTCTTCCAAAGACTAATTTTCTCTGATGAGTGTGACAGCAAAATGATTAACATCCCCAGACAGTAATGAAAACTGCTCGCTCTCTCTCATTTTCAGCGAAGCTTCCTGGGCTACGCCAGTTTTAAGGTCGGGGAGCTGCTGAAGTCGAAGGAACAACTGCTGGCCCTGAGCTTGAGGTAGGTCTGAAACGCTGTGAGAGGCTGTTCACGTTCCGAATGGCCTGGGATATGTACCGTGGCCATTTGTCTTTGTAAGTCATCATTCTCGCACATGGTTTCGAGATCAACTCTCCAATGTCTTAAGGCTTTAACAAGTTTTATTGAAACACCAATTATTCAATTTCACATTTGAATTCACCTTTCAGCTTATCAACCCTTGAATGAAAACTAATTAAATTATCAGTAAAAGTATGACATTCTTTGAAAGTAATCAAGTAAAAAATAAATAACCAGGGCAATCATATTGTTAAATTACTTTTCTGTTGATTATCAAAATGTTGTTTTTCCTGATCCAGTTTCTTTCTAGGATTGAAACTTTTTTTCTCTCTCTTTTAACCGTACTTTGTCACTATATTTGTATTATTAAACATGAAGCACAAGTAAGTTAAGGTAGACTCATTGAAACAAATGATAGATTGTATCTAATTTGGAATGTGAATGCGATTTGTTTTGATTCAGAAAGTGAGACTGCAGTCTTCAGGAAGAGTTACCAATATTTTTAAAACAAAGAAGCGTATTGAATAGCATAATGATTTTTGGTAGCTACATAACAAGTTTGAGTCACAATTCTGTTATTTTCTAGCTATAAAATAACTTTTAGAATTTAATGGGTGAAAGAAAACTGCATTTCAATATTTTTATCTTGTAAGTGAATATAAAAATTATGTAAAACACTCTTTGTAAATTCAGATGCTCATATTTAAATGAGGTATAGTGACTGGTGAGAGGGAGGCAACAATGCCTCACGTTTCTTTACCTCCCCTCCCCAGAGGATGCGCAACCAACCATTTATTTCAGTTACTGATGTAGCTCATGCTGGAATCAGCACAGCTGACTCTTTTTTTTTCTTTCTGCTTTTCCTTGATCCTTAGAGCTTTGCTTTGTAATTTAAGATATAGCAGATAGTAATTGAAAGTAAATCATACTGCAAGCTGTAAGAAAAAATGTTGTTGAATTCTGTCCAGCTTCTCTTAGGTTGTGACTTTGAAATATCTGTTCCTTTGTGGTTGTTGTATCTTATTAGGGGCAGCATTTAAATTTTATAAATACTGTAAATCTTTCTATGCACTGTAACGTATTTTTCATAGTTTTGTAACATTGTCTCAGTAAAACTCTTCAGCTGCTGATTGCCAGGTGAAAATATGAAGGGAAGAGTAAGAAAGAGAACAAAAACCTCGCTATGTCCAAGCCAAGCCCTCCGCCACAGAGTCCATTGCAGTGCACTTGATACCTTAAAATGATCTCTTATCAACCTCGCATGGCTGTTGGCTCTGGGGTCATTAGATAACGCCGAGCAACGTGTCTCTGTTGTTGTTAAGAGCTGCCATCCCGTTGGCTCTGAGCCCGGCTGCCCTGTGCACAACAGAATGGACCACTGCGAGAGCAAGCCGTGGTTCTCATATTTTCTAGATCAGATACAGGGTCTTCAAAAAGTTTGTGGAAATAGTCTGTTATCTTTTCATTCAATTTTTCCAGGAAGT